TCTCTAAAAATCAATTTAAAAAAATTTTTTTAAAGACGCAGTAGATGGAGCTAGCTAGCAAACACAGACAAAGTGTGTTCACTCTTTTCCCTTCTTTAATCATCTCATGTTTTTTAGCTCACAGAAGTTGACATTACTGATAACAGGTAGAGAAAATATGTGATGTAGAAAGTAAAATGAGGGTAATATAATTTATGATACAGTCACAGAGTGGCCCCTCTGCAGCCATTGAAGAGAGAGGGCCTTGTGGAGACTGACATGGAGTGAGCTCCAGAACATATTATTAAGGTCAAAGCCAAGTGCAGAGCAAGCTTACTATGTGCTGCCTTTTATTTTACAAAGAACGTTGGGTGGATACACACTCCCTCACTCACATGTGCTTGTGTATGCATAGGTGCTCTGTTGAAAAAGTAAAGGGTGGACCAAGGTTGCCTTGACGAGGGAGACTGGGGTATCAGATGGCGCCTTCTTTTGCCCTGTGTGCTATTTATATAGTTTCATTTGACTGTTATTCTGTACATGTTCCCTATCATTACTCTGTCCAGTGGTATAGTAATGTTAGTGTAAGCTCTCCCAGAGATTTTTCTCCAAACTTGTATCAGCCCAGTTTTTTCAATCATTTTTGACCATTCCCTTAAACAGGAAAGGCATTTTACATTATAAGCCACCATGGACATCCCTAATGAAGTTCCACAAAACCATTTACCCTTACCTCACATGATGGTCACTGTTGGTTTTTATACTAGCCTATTTTTTCCCTCAATAATGGTCAGGACCCAGTAAGTTGCTTTTATGATCCACAGTTGGGAAAAATATGCACATTCCTTTTTGTAAAAACAAAACAAAAAATGTTACATAATCATACAATATATGTACATTTAAAAAAGAAAGAGTAGAGCCATGCTTTGCACCATGCCTTGTTTCCACTTACAGACATCTGTTCTCATCCACAAACAGAAATCTACCTTATTCTTTGCACTGGCTGCATAGTTTTGGATCACGTGGGTATGGTTGGAATGATCTTTTTAATCCTCTATGAAAAGACATTCAGGTCATGTCCAACTTTTCCTGGTTACACACAGCACCATAGTGACCATCTTGTGCAGGCTTTTCTGTGGCATGGATTTCTGGGAGTTCGTGTATTAGATTGATGCTACTCATCCTTCACTTTTCAGCTCAGACGCCATTGCCTCCTTGGGGGAGCCCTTCTGCCCACTATATACAGAGTCCATTCCCTGTGTTATATATTCCATGACTCCCTGGACATCCCCCACAGATGCACAACCTAGGCCCTATTAATAGCTGCTGCTAAATTGTAGAAAATATAAATAATTGGAGCTTGCTTTTTAAAAAATCTTTATTGTTGAAAGTTTGCTTTCTTTTTTAAATCCAGTCTGACAGTCTCCTGTCGTTTAAATGGGGGTGTTTAAGCATTTACATCTAATGAGATTATTGCTAATGAATGGGTTTACATTTTCTGTTTTGCTTTTGGTTTTCTATATGTCTGTCTTTATTGCTCCTCTGTTGTTTCTCTACTGCCTTTTGTGTTAAATAAATGTATTTTAATGTACTGTTTGAAGTCCTCTTGATTTTTGGCTATTTTTTAGTTATTAAAATATGCATCTTATCAGGATAATTTAGATTAATAGTAATAATTCCAATATACCATAGAATCTTTTCTCCACTATAGCTTCATTCTCTTCCCTCCTTTGTACTATTTTCTCATGTATGTTATAAACCCAACAATATATTAATATTATTGCTTTACGTAACTTTTGTCTTTAAAGAAGTTGGATAAGAAATAAATTCTAACCCATAAATTTATCATCTTGGACCCTTCATTCCTCTATATGGCTTCAGATCACCACTTAGAGTCATTTCCTTTCAGTCTGAGGACCTCTTTTATTATTTTTTAGGCAGATGTGCTAGCAATGCATTTTCTCAGTCTTTATCGGGAAAATATTTTGCCTTCATTTGTGAAGGGTAGTTTTGCTGGATATAGAATACTTGATTGACAGATTTTCTTCAGTGTTTTGTAAATATCATTCCAGCTGTAACCGGTTTGGCTCAGTGGATAGAGCATTGGCCTGTGGACTGAGGGGTCCCAGGTTCGATTCCAGTCAAGGGCATATACCTTGGTTGCGGGCACATCCCCGATTGGAGATGTGCAGGAGGCAGCTGATCGATGTCTCTCTCATTGATGTTTCTAACTCTCTATCTCTCTCCCTTCCTCTCTGTAAAAAATCAATAAAATATATTTTTTTAAAAAGAAAGAAAATATCATTCCATTCCATTGTTTCAAATGAGAAGTCATCAGTTGGTTATATTGCTACTCTGTGTGTGACGAATCCTTTTTCTATTTATGCTTTCAAGATTTTTATCTTAGTGTTTGACTTTCAGCTGGTTTTCTTGGGGGAGTGGGGGGTGAATGTCTTTGTATTTATCATGCTTGGGGTTTGTTGAGCTTCTTTTATGTGTAGATGAATGTTTTTCATCAAATCTGGGGAGTTTTCAGCTGTTATTTCTTCAAACCTTTCTTCTACCCCATTCTCTCTTCTGAAATTATGATTGCACATATGTTGGTATGTTTTTACTATCTCAAACATTCCACTGTGGCCAAACTTCCTTGTTCATTGAGCTGGGCAGGGGGATGGGAGGAGCCCTAGGCCAAGATGCCTCAGATGTCTCTCTTCTTACCTGAAGTTCAGCAGTTTTTTAAGCATAAATGAATCTTGGTTTGTTATATGCCATTAGTCAATTTACAGAGTGCTAAAATGGTTGTTTTTGTCAAATGGTTGTTTTATGCTTTTGGGGTCCAAGATTTGCCAATCTTCTCACTAGGTCATAGTCAGAAGTCCCACCCCTCTAATATTGCTAAATTGACCTTCAGAAAGGATTTATTTTATTTTTTTTAATTCTCACCCAAGGATATTTTCTCCATTGATCCTTAGAGAGAGAGTGGAAAGGAGATAGGGGGAGAAAAGAGAGAGAGAGAGAGAGAACACACATCGATGTGAGAGAGACACAATCAACACACGCTCCAGTTGGGGTCAGGGATCAAACCTGCAAACAAAGTACATCCTTTGACCAGAAATCAATCCCATGACTCTTCAGTCTACAGGCTGATGTTCTAACCACTAAGCCAAACTGACCAGGGCAGAAAAGATTTATTGACTTATACTCCAGAGGCATTAATTTTCTCATTAAATACCTCTTATTTGAAACTAGAGGCCTGGTGCACAAAATTCGTGCATAGGGATGGGGAGCTCCCTTAGCCCAGCCTGCACCCTCTCCAATCTGGGACCCCTTGGGGGATGTCCAACTGCCTCTAGCAATCTGGAACCACTGGCTCCTAACTGCTCAGCTGCCTGCCTGCCTGATTGCCCCTAACACCTCTGCCTGCCTGCCTGATCGCCCCTAACTGCTCCCCTTCTGGCCTGATTGCTCCTAACTGCTTCCCTGCTGGCCTGATCGCCCCTAGCCACCTCTGCCTTGCCCCACACCCAGGACCCAGGCTTCCCTCCCTCTGGCCGGTCACAGGCACCCGTGACCTAGGCTTCCCTCTTTCTGGCCAGCTGCAGGCACCCAGAACCCACGCTGGCTTCACCCGGGCTGGCCGCAGCCGCAGAGGACTGTGGACAGGCGGCTTCACCTGGGCCACAGCTGCAGGCACCTGGAACCGCAGAGCGGGCGTTTTGTCCCTCTCCTGGGCTGCAGGCGCTGGCGCCTGGGACTGCGGGGTGGGTGGCTTGTCCCTCTCCTGGGCCGCAGCCACAGGCGCTGGCGCCCAGGACCACAGAGCATTCGGCTTGTTCCTCTCCCGGGCCGCAGGCGCAGGCACAGCCACTGGTGCCCAGGACCGCAGGGTGGACAGCTTGTCCCTCTTCTGAGCCACAGCCTAGCTGGTCCCCATTCCTCTCTCATGAGCTCATTTGTGCCTGGCTGGTCCCCATTCTTTCTCCCCAGTATTGATTGTCTGAGCCGTGATGGCATGAGAGCATGATGGACCATTTGCATATTAGCTCTTTATTATATAAGATGGAACTGGACTTTCATTAAGAAGTTAATTGCCTCCGTGGTATAAGCGGTTGGCTCCGCAAGAATTGGGTCCTAGTCAACAGCATGAGGTTTGTTGTAGCATTAATTCCACAGGTATTCAGCATTTGTGATATTGAGCTATGGTTTGGATTAGGTCAGCTGGAATAGTGTCTGATATATAGTAGATGTCTTTAAAATTAATGAAGAGCTACATCACATATATATTTTAAGTTAAAAACCCCACAAGTTGCCCTAACCAGTTTGGCTCAGTGGATGGAGCGTCGGCCTGCGGACTGAGGGGTCCCGGGTTCGATTCCGGTCAAGGGCATGTACCTTGGTTGCGGGCCTATCCCCAGTGGGAGGTGTGCAGGAGGCAGCTGATCAATGTTTCCCTCTCATCGATGTTTCTAACTCTCTATCCCTCTCACTTCCTCTCAGTAAAAAATCAATAAAATATATTTTAAAAAAAGATAAATCAGTCTACTTTTAAAAAAAACCCACAAGTTACAGTACAATATATTAACATGAACTCAGTTATATAAAAACATAATCCTCACTCCCCGTCCCCCTATTTCTGATTGTGTATATTTTAATGCATAGGAAAAGGTTAAGGCCATAGAGCAAACTGTAAGCTGTGGTTGCCTATAGACAGGCAGTCAGGATCCCCACCTTCAGATGTGTAGATTGTCCCTAGGAGGAGGGGAATCTCACAGGGGGTCATCCACCCATAGAGGGCTATGTTTTTAGATTCTCGTAGAGGAACTAAATGTGTTAGAAGGGCATTCCTGGTGGGATTGAGTGCTGTGCAGCAGCTGTACCTTTAGAATTTTCTGCAGCAGCAATGTATTTATGTGTCTCTTGGTTTAATGAACATTTTTATTTCCCAAGAGTACATTTAAACAGATCTGTTTTGTGATATGGGATAAATTTCATCTCTTAATTCTTTCATTTTTACTTTGCAGTGACATGAACTCAAGGGCTGGGTACCCTGCTCAAGTTTACAAAACTACCAGTGCAGAGACTCCTCAACCTTCACAGCTGGCCCAGTCCAGCTCCTTCCAGCTCTCTGCCTCCGTCCCCAAGTCCTTCTTCTCCAAGCAGCCTGTGGGGAATAAACACCCAACAGGGTGGAAGAGAACAGATGAGCCCCCGCCACGGCCACTTCCCTTCACTGACCCAAAGAAGTAAGTGTCTGGTCACCCACTAAGGCAATGCAGGATCAAAGGCTGAGTGTCTCGGGGCCGGGAAGACAGTGACACCTCAGTCACTGATCATCAGGACACTGTGCCAATCCGTACACTGGGCGTACAGCTGTGAACAGGTGCACTGGGGTCCCTGCCCTCAGAGAGCTGACATTTTGGTTGGGGAGACAGAGAATAAATAGGATAACTAAGAAAAGCACACAGTGCCCAACTGGCGTGGCTCAGTGGTTGAGCATCGACCTATGAACCAGATCACGGTTCGATTCCCTGTCAGGGCACATGCCCAAGTTGTGGGTTTGATCCCCATTGGGGGGCATGCAGGAGGCAGCTAATCAGTGATTATGATCATTGATATTTCTATCTCTCTTTCCCTCTCCCTTTCACTCTGAAATCAATAAAAATATTTTTTTTTAAAAAAAGAAAAGCACATAGTAGGTCAGTCAGTGGCTAGCACTGTATAGTGTCTGGATGAGGAACATTCCAAGCAGAGGGAATAGTAACTGCAGAGACCCATGCTTGGTCTGTAGGAGGAAGGCCAGTGGTTGGAACAGCGTGAGCACGTGAGATCAGAGAGACGATGGGGACAGGTCACTGAGGGTCTTGTGACCTGTCTTGGCATCTGCTATAAGTGAGGTGGCACCACGGAAGGGTGTGGAGCAGAGGAGGAACATTATCTAAATTGGGTGTCCTTGGGGCCCCTACCTCTGCAGGTGGGGCAGGGCCTGTGAGGAGCTGCTGTGACAGTCCAGGCAGGAGACAAGGAGGCTGGAACAGGGTGGAGGCCCAGGAGGATAAGGGCTGCTTCGGAATAGATTCTCTGTAGTAGGAGTAGACAGAGTTGTTGGCAGGTTGGCTGTGGTGTGAAAGAAGGCAAGGTAGAGATGATAGCAGCTCTTGTAGCCTTGAACTAAGATGGGACTGAGCAAGGAGCAGGCTTGGGTGGAGCTCCGGAGCTCAGTCCTGGATGGGTTACATTTGCAATGTGCAGAAGACATCGAGGAGGCAGTCGGGGGAGGAGTCTGGAGCTCAGGGAAGAGGTCAGGCTGGAGAGAGAAATGTGGATGTCATCAGCATAAGGTGGAGGAGCTCACCCAGGACCAGATGTGGGTAGAGAAGAGGGAAGGTGTAAGACTAGGCCTAAGGAGGAGCCCAGGCAAGTGTGGGGTTTGGGGAGCCCAAGAGTGATGGACCGGAAGCTGTCAGATGGATGAACCTGATGCCTGTGTAGGAGTGAGCCTCATGGAGGTGACTAGAGGGTGCAGGAGAGAAGGGTGGGGCAGAAATGGAGGCAGCTGTGTGTGAAGTTCGTGAGGAGAAGAGTATGCAGTTAAGAAAGGGTTTTTGTTTTTTTAAGGTAGGTGGAAATGATGTCTAACATTTATGAAGTCCTCACTGTACGACAGTCTTGGTTCTAAGCTAATGTGTGTCGATTAATTCAGAGAATCTCACAGGATTTCCATGAGGTAGACCTATTGTTCATTCCCAGACTCACACAGCTGGTGAGGGAGGGAGCTTGGCTCGGAGTCTGGGAACCTGGGCCAAGGCTCCTCTTCTTTTGTGTGGGAGCAGACCTGTCTTCCTCCGTTCTGTTTGTAAGGTTGTCCTTCTTAACCTGGATGGAGCCATTCAAATGTGTGAATAACACAGAGCTCATAAGGACAAGTGTCAGGAGACAGAAGCCAGGTCCCCGGAGATGGTGGTGGGCGGGCAAGCCTGCTGCAGTCACACTGAGAATCCAGTTCACACACCTAACAGCCATTCAGGCCGCTCTGAAAACTAGGTTCACATCCTCGCTCCCCTGAGTAAAATCCCCAGCAGCTTACCCCTTTCCAGGATTATTGATAAAGTCACACATTTACTGAGGACATAATTTGTACCAGGCAACAGTGCACCATGTGTTTTGCCCAAACTCCCATCCAGACTCTACATGATCTTCCCTTTTGTCCCCTTGCCTTCATGTCCTCTCACTCTCCCCCTCGCTCACTGCCCTCCAGCCACGTTGACCTCTTGCTGCTCCTCAAACTTGCCAAATACAGTGCTGACCTCAGGGCCTTTGCAGGGGCTCTCCAATGCCTGGACACTCTTCCCCCAGATCTTCTGGCTGGCTCCAAAGGGGCTTAGTCTAATGCCCCCTCCTCAGATGGGCCTTCCCAGCCTTCCATAGCCCCTGCCATCATTCTCACTTTTCTCTGTTCCATTGCCTATTGCCCCACAGGAAAGCAGGTACTACTGTCTTGGTCACTTGTCACCTGCCTGGCACTCTGTGGGTGCTCCGTCAGAGAAAGTATGAGCCATGCATCTCATTCTCACCTCATCCCCATATGATCCTGTAAGGCCCCCACTTTTCAGGGTGGCCAGAGGGCCAGGCCCTGCTGGCCCTGTTATGTTCTCCACAGTGACAGCTGCTCTGGCCACCCTTCCCCTGCGTGCTGTTCCCTCTGGCTAGGTGCCTCCAACCCCAGCTGACTCACTCCTACCCCCCTGCATTGGTGTGCGAGGTCTGCTGAGACAAATACCACAGAGTGGCTCAACAACAGAAATTTATTTTTCCACAGTTCTGGAGGTTACAAGTCTGAGACCAAGGTGTCTGCAGGGTTGGTTCTTTCTGAGGACCTTGAAGCAAATCTGTTCCACATCTGTCTCTCAGCTTCTGGTGGTTTGCTGGCAATCTGGGACTTCTTGGCTTCTGCCAATTCACCTCAATCTCTGCCTTCATCTTCATGCATTGTTCTCCCTGTGTGCATGTCTCTGTCCACATTTCCCCTTTTCATAAGGACACCAATCATATTGGATTAGGGTTCACCTTAATGACCTCATTTTACCTCAATTACCTCTATAAAGACTCTATTTATAAATAAGGTCATAAATAAGGACTTCAATATATCTTTTGTGGGGAGACCCATAACACCAGCCCTCAGGTATCAATCTGCACAGACATGCCATACTCGGAGAAGCCCTCCTAACCCCCATCCAGGCTCCTCCCTCCTGCTGACCTCATGGTGAAGGTCCCAGGGCACATCATGCCGCTTTGTTGCACCTGCTGGACAGAGAGATTTAGGAGAGCAGAGACACCTGGACCTCAACTAGGGCCTGGTACATAGTAGATGCTCAGAAAATAGACCTGGACACATGACAGTCCTAAACAAACAGCCACCTCCTTTTTCCCAGGAAGGCTGTGTGTGTGTGTGTGTGTGTGTGTGTGTGTGTGTGTGTAACAATCCATAAAATATTTGAAGACACAGAGTTTCATGGGTTCTTATAATATTCATTAATTGATACTTAAGTTTTCATCATATGTGTAGATACTATTAATTTAGAATTATTGCTCTTCTCCATATACTCCCATTTCATAAAGCTTTCTAGTTCAAGCTCTCCCTGAGCATTTTGGAGATAGTATCTTTGTCATTGTTAGAGACATTTCTGAGTCACTATCCTAGTTTTCCAGAAAATATCATCACTTCCAGTTAATTATTTGAGGTTAAACATGTTTTTCTTTTTTTTTGGAGAGAGAGAGAAAGGGAGAGGGATAGAGAGATAGAAACACTGAAGAGAGAAAAACTTCATCAATTGGCTGCCTCCTGCAAGCCCCCTATTGGGGATCAAACCCTCAACCCAGGCATGTGCCCTGACTGGGAATCAAACTGGTGACTTCTTAGTTCCTGGGTCAGTGCTCAACCCTGAGCCACACGGGCCTGGCTGATCATGTTTTTCTTGATGCTGTTACTGAAATTTTATCTCAAGGCATAAGAACTCATTTGTATAACTTATTTACCTACATTTACATACCTGCTCTACCAGGTACTGTTGTAAGCCCTTTACCTGCATTAACTCATTTACTCCTCACTACAGAATGGAGAGATCAGAAAAATTGAGGTGCAGAATGATAGAGTCACTTGCCCAAATTCACTCAGTTAAAGTTAATTACTGCAAATATTACAAATGCTGGTTTTATAGTTGTTGGCCCCACAAAGTCACCACATATTATGATCTTATCTCCCCCAGGATAATTACCTAATCTATCTACTATATTTCTTTGCCTCCTTGCTCATTGGTTCTGGTCACACTGAGGCTGTGCATCCACCAGAGAAATGACAGTGGCTGTGGCTAACACAGGGATCCCTGCCTTCAGCCACACTACTCTCCTTGGGTTGGCCCCATTTATTCTCCTGGCTATCCCATGAGAAGGATCCTGTTTCTATCACCATTTCCAGATGAGACACAGTACCCAGCCCAGGTCACCCAGCCAAAAAGTGGCAGAGCTAGGATTCATACCCAGCAAGATAACTAACAGCATCTCATCATGTGAGAGACTCAGGGAGGACACTCACACAAGGCAGTGACTCACATTTTCTGAGGATGGGTTTCTTGGAGGGAACAGTCTCTTCTGTATTTGGCACTCCCTGTTGAGCACATGCTCTCTTTGGTGAACAAAAGATGCAGTGAGCTAGTGAAGGACGGGGAATCTGTATGCAGAGAGAATTGAGAGCATCTGCCACAGAAGGTCCCTCATGCTCAGTCCTTCTGCTGCAGACCCCAGTCAATGCTGTCAGCTCCGTCTCAGGAGATGGCCAGACAGCACCCTTAGACCACTTTGTCCCAGGACTCTTAATTGATTGACCTATTGTATCCCAACCTTTAGAGAGGCAGAACAACATGGGGGTCAGGGCGGGAATCCCTCATTGGCTGCTTACCCCCTCTTTAGCTCCTCAGTTTTCCTCTCTTTCTTTTTTATTTTATTTTTTAATTTTTAAATTACAGTTGACATTCAATATTATATTAGTTTCAGGTGTACAACACAGTGATTAGATATTTATACAAAGTGATACCCCCCCCCAATAAGTCTAGTACCCACCTGGCACCATACATAGTTATTACAATACAATAGAAAGGAAATTAATTAGAAGAAATATTTTGATATTACTATTTGCCCTTTCTCTATAATAGAAGTGTCAGAGATGAAAGAATATTAGTAAAATGTATGT